CTTCTCAAATCACTACAATCTTAACATGTTCAAATCTGGGATCAACTGTCATGTACTTTCAACAACAGCATTCAGTAGCTATCTACTTTGAGGGGCTCTTGAGCCTTGTAATGAGTGAAGAACGTTAAAAAAAATGATTAGAATTTCATGTTCCAGGAGATCATTCTCATAGATTGCACCTCCCCTTTGCAGTGAAAATGTTGTTTTTTCTTTATCACTTTCCCATGTTTGCGTCGATTCCCATGCTCAAAAAAGCAATATATGGCACAGTGTCAGCGTTGGATGGAGCTATAATATCGTCACAGGACGTGAAAAGAAGAAAATAAGCAGTGTGTTTGACTAACGAGCTTATTTGTACATTTAATACGTCTTCATTTCTCGCACTAACAAGACGCAGAGTCGATAAAAAAAGGGCTTCCCAGTGTAGAGAACGAATATTACCTACTCCTTTCCGTTGGTCGTTTTGAGGTTCTGAGAGAAAAAGGGGCCAGAATCGGTCAGCCAGAAACTAATAAAGCTCGTCTTCTGTTTATACGCACTCAATGTTTCAGCTTTGCGTTTATGTAAATAAGGAATTGCATTGATTCTCGCCTTTCTTAGTTTTCGTAATGGATGTACTGATGATGTTTTCATAACTTAGGTGTGATTTTCTAGGTTTTGGCCAAAGCTTTTGTCCATTTTAATAAGAAAAAATAAAAAATGAATTCTCAGCGTTATGTTTAGGTAAGATCAGATTTTTAGTTAAACCATAAGTCTGTTTATATAATAAATTTTAAAAATGTGTAAATATGTTTTTAATATCCGTAATTTAGTTAAGCCCCAGACTTGATGAAAACAAAGTTTTATCGTGAAAAAGTTCATGTTTCATAAAAGAAAAGACCAAAGTATTTTTAACTATTTTTTTTTTTTTTTATTTTTATTCCTTTCAGTCACGTTTGAAATTTTGGTTTGAAAAACGGGCAACGTTGTAGGTCAGAGGTCGCGTAAAATTTATCATTAATTTTTTTTACGCGCTTTTTTCAGTTGAAAAACATTAATTTGGAAATTCTCGCAAAAATCAAATAATAATTTTAATTGAAACTTTCAGAACTTATTTAAAAAAATGTATGAAATTATTTCAGAAATATTTGCTTTTTTTATAAACTCATGGTAATATTTTTTATATCAGTTACCCCGCCTTCCGACTTGTTAATTTTATGAAAACTTAAAAATCCCAAATCTGTAACTTGCTGTATTTTTTATTAAATGCAGATACATTAAAGAATATAAATCGTCGAATTCTTTTTATAAATCGATTAGTTCTACACAAACTTTAGCTCTGAATTCTAAAATGCAAAACCCAATAAAACTAAGACATTATTTAATTGAAAAAAGGTTTTAATGACTTTTCTGAATAATACATGTTAAGGACATTTTTATCTGAAGCCAAAATATTTTTTGATAAAAAATGAATTTTTACAAGAATTGTTTTCATTTTTAATTTTAAATACAAAATGTGATAAACTTGTTAAATATTTTAAAATTAAATTTGAAGCCGTAACTCCTAGGAAATATTCTTAATAAAACATCTACGGATCTTAAATTTAAAAGATTATTACACTATGTGGAACGGTGTACTTTTACAATATTCTTTTGATATACCAAAATATATACTGAAATCATCTCTGACAAAACTACGGAAGCACAATTCTGAAATAATGTCACGTGGGCTTGAATTGTTTCTACTGATAGCGTATCAAATTCTCTGACTGACGGACCATTATCGTCGCATTTTCAATTTTTTTCAATTTTTTTCTTTTTTTGTTCTTTACATATTTCACGAAATATTTTCATTTCTTTTTTTAAATATATTTTTTTTTTCTATACTGCAATTATTAATTTTAATTTTTCTTTTTTTAGATTCAATTTTAGTGACGGAAACAATGTAGGCTTTGGACACATTGTCGTTAAAATGTACCTAAAAGAAATCAATATTTAAGAATTACTTTAAACTTAAATAAGCTGGATCACTTAAAAATGAAAAAGACTGAGACATTTGCCCTTCCATTCTATAAATTCCTTTAACGTTAGTTGTCGATACATTGACTTAAACGTCAGTTCACCCACCCCCTCCAAAACCAATCACCACTGTTAGACATACTTTTCTTATTACTAACTAATTTTTTTTTACTAAAAAAATAAAGTAATTTTTGTTTCAAATTACATTAAGTATACTTTAAATTTTCTAATTTTCTTAAAATAAATTTTTAAAAAAGTGTAATTGTATTTTACAAGATTTTTAAACGGAGAAATTCACTTTCGTTTACAAAACTGCCAATAATGGCAGACATCATTGATTTTACGTCAATTTTGATGACTCAAAATAAACAAGATTTTTAGCTAAAATTAGCTAAAATGGATTCATTTTTTTGAATATTTAAAAATACTTTGGTCTTTCCTCTTAATAATAATATAAACATTTAGATGATAAAAAAATGTTTAATCAAGTTTGGAGCCTTTTTCATCAGATTATGCTCTTTTTTAGCGAAGTTTTGAACATATCTACCATTATTAGTTTTATTGATCAAAGGGTATTTCTTTTCCTTTTTTTATCGGTCTATCTCATAGATTTTATTTATTGCTTTTAAATTTATTTTTAATTTTCATTGGTCACTTGGCAAGCTTTGTGGCACTTTTATCAATACTTTAATCAATATATATATATATATATATATATATATATATATATATATATATATATATATATATATATATGTATGTAAAACCACCAGTCTACAAATTTCCAGGAGACCATTGAAAGTAGAAGACAAAGCCCTGAACTATGTAAATTCTTTCACCTATCTTGGTAGCAAAGTCAACTACAGTGGAACTTTAGATGATGAAATCATGTATCGCATTACTAAGGCTACCGGTGCTTTCGGCAAACTTCGCCATCGCTTGTGGAATGATCGGGATATTCGACTGGATATGAAAATTCGGATTTACAGAGCTGTTGTACTTGCCATCCTTTTGTATGGCTCAGAGTCGTGGACTCCATACAGGTACCATATACGCCAGCTGGATGTTTTCCATAAAGGCTGTCTGCGTGCAATCTGTGGAGTTAAGCTTCAAGATAGGACATCTAACGTAGACCTGTTTAACAGGTGTAATATTGGAGGAATCGAGACTTTTCTCATACAGTCTCAGTTACGATGGACTGGTCATGTCTTGAGGATGTCTGATGACAGGATACCCAAGATCCTAATGTACAGCCAGTTAGATCAGGGCTACAGGAATGTAGGACGCCCATGACTAATATACAAAGACAAGCTGAAAAGCAACTTATCAGCTGTCAATATACCACATAACACCCTTGAGCGCTTAGCCTTGGAGCGGGTAGAATGGAGATCAACGTGTTTTAGTGGACTCAGCAGTTTTCAATCTGCTTGTCTGAATCATCTTTAAAAAGTGAGAGCAAGATCTAAAAGGTCAGCCAATCTAACAGTGTCCTCATCCCACAATCCTCACTCTTGCTCCATATGTGGCCTCCTTTGTAAATCACTAGAGAGTCTTAAGTGCCACTTAAGATTATCGCACAAAATTTCATAACTGAATCAATTAAGCTATCAGATCCTCATACGTCGAAACGGACGGGACAGTCCATTATGGATGTATGTATGTATTCAGTTGTATGGATATAAGTTTGTGATCCTGTGTTTCACGCTTTTGCGATCATCGAACAAACGGTTTTATTGGATCTATTTTATGCTTGTTCTGTGTGGACTAGAATGCGTACACTTGTATGTATGTGTGTCTATGTGTATGAGAGTGACACCCCAAACAAACACAGAAATAAATTCCTTCTCCTACCACCAAACATAGTCAAACAATTTTCACTTGAAGATGAATTAGAACTAATGATTTTAATTTAATTATATAATTAAATTTGAAGTTTTAGCTTCCATTTTTCAAACATGGTAATTCCTGTGTAGTGAAGGAACCATATTTTTAAATCAGTTAATTTATAATATTTATGCTCTGTAGATTTACATTGAGCAATGTTTTGTAAAAATATAAATATTAAATCAGGACACCGGATTAATATCTTACTGTTCTTTCTTTTTACGAGAGAGAGAGAGAGAGAGAGATTGGGTTTGTCAAAAAGTAATTATTTTCCTGTTCAATATTAATATTTAAAATAATTATTTAAAAGAGGATTATTTTAATTTTGAATATTATTAAGCTACAAAATTTTCATTTCTTATTTGTCATTAAAATTATTGAACAAAACATTGGGTTGGCCAAAATTTTCGACCTGATTATTAAGTAAAATTAAAAGGCAGTTCTTCTAATTTTTGAAATTAAATTTATTGAACGGGTTGGAAAAAAATTAATTTGGCTTACGGCCAAATCATGTTTGAAACACCGAAGTTAAGCAACGTCGAGCCAGCTCCTTATCTAGACGGCTGACCGCTTCGAAATACCAGGTGCACTAAGCTTGGATGTGCGGTTGGTGCAATGTTTAATGCCTATCAATAAGAAATCGGAGAGCCGAGTTCGAATTCCAGCCGGGTTCGTTATATTCACAACCACGTCTTTCCCCCCAGTTATGGGTTTAATAGTAGGACTTGTATTAAGAAATGAAAATCTCCAAAAAATAGTTCAATCCTAAAATATGTTCTGGTTTTTAATAGCCTACAAATGGTTGATAACCTATGAAAGTTCAGGTGGTCATGGCTCGTTGAAACACCAGTTCTCATTCGGTTACCGAAGTTAAGCAACATCAAGGCACGTCTTGGGTACTGTAAGATGGATGACCGCTTGGGAAACACCGGTTCTCGTGTAAGCAACATATGGATGTGCAGGTTGCCATGGATGTGGTTTACAGTCATATCACGTTGAAACACCAGTTCTCATTCGGTTACCGAAGTTAAGCAACATCAAGGCACGTCAGTACCTAGATGGGTGACCGCTTGGGAATACCAAGTGCTGTAAGCTATGGATGTGCAGGTTGCCTTGGTTTACGGTCATATCACGTTGAAACACCGGTTCTCGTCCGGTCACCGAAGTTAAGCAACATCAAGGCACGTCAGTACCTAGATGGGTGACCGCTTGGGAATACCAAGTGCTGTAAGCTATGGATGTGCAGGTTGCCTTGGTTTACGGTCATATCACGTTGAAACACCGGTTCTCGTCCGGTCACCGAAGTTAAGCAACATCAAGGCACGTCAGAATACCCTGTAGATGGGTGACCGAAACACCGGTTTCGTCCGGGAATAAACAACATCAAGGCACGTAAGCTAGATGGGTGACCGCTTGGGAATGTGCAGGTTGCCTTGGTTTACGGTCATATCACGTTGAAACACCGGTTCTCGTCCGGTCCGGTCACCGCAAGTACCTAGATGGTGACCGCCTGGGAACATCTGTAAGGTGACAGGTTCCTTGGTACCGTTGAAACACCGGTTCTCGTCCGGATCGTTTCAAGGGGAGATGACCCTTGGGAATGCAAGTGCTGTAAGCTATGGATGTGCAGGTTGCCTTGGTTTACGGTCATATCACGTTGAAACACCGGTTCTCGTCCGGTCACCGGTTAAAGCAACATCAAGGCACGTCAGTACCTAGATGGGTGACCGCTTGGGAATACCAAGTGCTGTAAGCTATGGATGTGCAGGTTCTTGGTTTACGGTCATATCACGTTGAAACACCGGTTCTCGTCTGGTCACCGAAGTTAAGCAACATCAAGGCACGTCGGTACCTAGATGGGTGATCGTTTGGGAATACCAAGTGCTGTAAGCAATGGATGTGCTGGTGTTCTTGGTTTACGGCCATATCACGTTGAAACACCGGTTCTCGTTCGGTCACCGAAGTTAAGCAACATCAAGCCACGTCAGTACCTAGATGGGTTACCGATTGGGAATACAAAGTGCTGTAAGCTATGGATGTGCAGGTTGCCTTGGTTTACGGCCATATCACGTTGAAACACCGGTTCTCGTCCGGTCACCGAAGTTAAGCAACATCATTAAATACCTAGATGGGTGACCGCTTGAGAATCCCAGGTACTGTAAGCGTGGATGTCCGAGAGGTCTAATGGATCATGGCTCGGAATTGTTAACGAGAGAAACGAGTTTCAATTCCCCTGAGGATCTTTATATTTACCTACGCGCATATACCTTCTATATTGAGCGGCCCCCGGGCCTTGTACAGGGTGAACTTTACTGTAAAAAACAAAAAAATTGGTGAGCGTGTGGGAATACCAGTTGCTGTATGGTGTCAGGGATAATGGCTCAGAATTGATAAACAGAAAGCCGAGTTCTAATTACCGTTGCCTTCATTATATTCACTTACGTGCCAATAGCATTGGGGAAGTTATGTATCCATTTCTTCTCCCCCTAGCTATGGGTTAACTAATAAAACTTCTGAGTCTCTCTATATTTCTGAGATGAGGTATTATGTACATTATTTACATTATTCGGACTATTGTCCTCATCTTTGTCGCTATATTCATCACAACGTTTCAGCCGTTGTACGCTCCGGCCTTCTTCAGGTGGTTGGAATTTCGAACTGAACCCTTTATTTCGCTCACTGGGATAGACTGTTCTAGTTCCACGTGCCATGTTTGATGGATGTCAGTTATAAAGAGTGTGAGTTCAATACACGGTTAAGGCAGTGGAGAACTCGGGCAGGGAAATTAGCACGAGATAACTGATAACATTGTGGAATTCCCTTGACTTCTAGCCGTTGAATCCTTTTTCTGCGCACCGCTGGTGAATCTTATATGTGTTGTTCTTGTCCTAAGTATTATTGTTCATTACCAAACTTTGTGTGATTATTCTATTCAGTAACCTTCCCTACAACACTTTTGAACTCTGCCAGCGTGAAAAGTGTAGATTGTGAAGCTCCAGACCAGATATGTTAGCAAACTTTAATCTTTGGCTTGATCTGTTTCTTTTAAATATAGAGCACGGTATATAGAAGTCAGATACCATTTGATGCAGTACAAGGATCCGACTATTTTTCAAGGCTCGTTAGCGATGAATCGTATATATATATGAGAGCATGTGATGAAATAATTCTTTTTCATGCCCTTTGCACTCTTCCAAGACATTCTGTTAATTTATTCTTTTCTTTTTTTTCATTCCGATAATTCTTTAAAAAGCGGGAAAATGATAATTCGATGTTGCAATATTTGGTGAATACAGGAAACCAGAGTCAAGATTTTAAAAGAAAGCGTGAAGACAGGACTAACTACAAAAAGACAGATTACATATTCCCCAAATATAACGATTTTAAAAATTTCCTTGAATTTTCAGTCATCTTAATCCTGTTACAGCATAATTGACCATCCCACTTAATGTTTACTATCTAAAAGACCACTAAAATAACTGCCATTCTTTTTTTCCAGGAATTCAGATAAGACGTTTAGCCATCTTGCCAACCTTTGTCGTAAGAATCACTGAAAAATTCTTTGAGTTATTCAGCTAGAAAGAGAACAGATTAAAATAATTTTGTGTCAGCCCCACTGTCTACCCAAATGAGCAATGGTGTCAGAAAAAAGATCATTCAAACCTTCAGCAATGGTACCAACATTCATACTCTGGCTTCCATCTTCAAAGATCATTCAAGGACCATCAAGAGAACGGTGAATAAGTTTTAAAAATGCGGAAACAGTAGAGAGGAAAACTGTATTAGGAGGTCACCACAGAAAGAGAGATCATCATTTCTACTTACAGCTAAAAAAAAATGAATTAAAAAAATCCAACGCAATACATAAGACGTTTTGAACGTAAGAGAGAAATTTCAGCTATATCAATCTTAAGAGCAGCGAAAAAAAAAACTTCAAAATAAAATCGTATGTTAAACCTGTGAGGTACCTTGTTAATCCAGGACAGAAATTTAGAAAGTTAGAGAGGTCGATGATCATCTTAAGTGAATTGAGAAATGAACCTGGAATAATATATATATATATATATATATATATATATATATATATATATATATATATATAGATAGATAGATAGATAGATAGATAAATAAGATAGATTCAAACATTAAATAATATAGACAATTGTTGTCTATTTATTTTATATATATATATATATATATATATATATTATTAAGAAATGGACAAGGTCCGACAATTTATTTATTAAAGACATTTTTATAAATAACAACGTTAAACATAAAAATGTCTTTAATAAATATATAGATAGATAGATAGATAAACAGATTCAAACATTAAATAATATAGACAATTGTTGTCTATTTATTTTATATAAATTCTTTTCATAACGTCTGATAAGCTTAATAACATTATCATTAAACGAAGAAAGAAAATCACAATATTGATACATATTTTTTAATCCAATCTAAGCTTTCGGCTTACATAAGCCATTATCAAAGATGGCAATTACTGTACAATATATTAAGCAATACACGTACAAGAATGTGATGATGGTCTGTTTCTGTTTACAAGGATGATTTCCAAGCAACGATAAACACGTGCATATAAGACGCTGGAAGATATATATAGATATATATATATATATGTGTGTGTGTGTGTGTGTGTGTGTGTGTGTGTTTATATATATATATATATATATATATATATATATATATATATATATAGATGAAGAAATATAGTTTTAAGGTGTGCTATATTTATGGGATAATGTGCTCAATATCAGAGATAGAGCGTATATAAATATAAAAGTGAACAGTGAAGTCACTCAGAGGTGACAGGCTGTTTCATGCGAGAAGCAATCGTCAAGCCGACGAATGCGTCTTGCATGAAAGAGCTGGTCGCCTCTGAGTGTTTAATGTTCACTATATTATATATATATATATATATATATATATATATATATATATATATATATATATATATACATTTAGATACCTTCACGAAATCGCTAAAAACGAGCATAGTCTGATGAAAAAAGACGCCAAACTTTATGAAAACAAAATTTTATCGTCTAAATGCTTATGTTATTATTAAGAGGAAAGACCAAAGTTTTTTTTTTTTTAATTATTTTTAAAATTTTTCCTTCTTTTTAGAATATTCTAAATTTTGATTAAAAAACCTTGTTTCTCATTGTACCAAGCGGGGCTAGTAAATAACATAGACAATTTTTAGCACGTTTTTTTTTTTTTTTTTATTGCACACATTAATTTGGAAAATCTTGCAAAAACAAAAATAATTGTCGGATGTTAATGAAATTTTTAGAAACTATTCATAGATGATCGAAATTATTATAAAAATGTTTTCTTTTATTAAAGTCATGGCAGAAATATTTTTTATATTTATTAACACCCCCATAACTAATTTCATGAAAAACTCTAGAAATTCGAGCGCATCAACTTTAGTGATTACAATAGTTAAATGCACAAGGCTTTGAAGAATGCAAATCATGATTTTTTTTTTTTAAATTGGACCGGCAGTACCTGAAAATCAGCTGTGAATTGTAATATACAAAACTCAATAAAACAAAGATATTATTTAATTTCAAATGCTTTTATTTGTTTTTAGTTGTTTTTATGAATATGGACAATATTTTCTGAAAGCAAAAAATTTTTTCAATGAAAATTGAATTTTTAATACAATTATTTGTTATTTCTTTAATTATAATAGATTTTTACATTAAGTTTTTTAAAAATATTATAACATTAGTTAAAAGCCACGTCAACTTTTCTAAGTGTCCTTATGAAATTGTCATTGTCTAGCGCTTTAAAAATTGTATAATTTGGACCAATCAGAAGATCCGCAGTATTTAAGAAATGTAATTTTGTGTTTAAAATCGGGCGGTAATTATAAAGTACGGAAGACCAACCAGAATACAATTTAGTTGCATTATTTGAGTTCAGCATTGTTCTCCGCGGTTAACGTCTTTACTTTTGCGAAACACGTTTGGAGAAGTTAATTTGATTTTTCAATTTCAACTGAGAAGGGTACCTATAAGTATCAGTATCCTCTTATGAAATTTAACTACTGCTAAACTTTAATTTATATGATCTTGTTTTTATATTAATGTCAGGTATGACATTTTTCCATGAATGAAATATCAAAATTAATAATAAAATGAATGGAAATACAAATAACACAGTAAAATGTAATAAATGTACATAAAATTATAGTATTTTATGTACACTTCTGATAAAGGTACCTATAAATTAATTAGATACCTTTCTTATGAAATTTAATCTCACTCTTAACAGTCTTATTTTTTAATTTCTTTATATTTTCCATAAAGCATCGTAAACGTAAAGATGAAAGCTAAGTACAAAAAAAAAAAAAAAATAAAAAATTAGAGGGCTGAAAGTTTTCCTTAAAAGTAACTAGGTAAATAATTTGTTCACTTACATCTAAATAATTTTACTTCCTTCCATCCGTAGAAAGAATTATCCTCCCGTAAGTTATCTAAACGTCATGAAAATGTCTTTCGTCACCTGTCAAATGACGCGAAAGGTTATGACCTGCTTTGTTTTATTTTCAAATTACATTTTTTCAGCGCAGAAGCTAAGTTAAGCTTGGTTCAAATTTCTGATTCTATTAAAATAAGTTTTGAAAAAATGATAATTGATTTTTAAAAGAATATCAAAGTCAGATTTTCATATTTTTTATAAAATGGAAAAAAATGATTGAAAATTATGGATTATCTGTATTTTTTTTTTGTCAAAAAAAAAACAAGATTTTTAACGAAAATTTCGGACGTGCTAGGAACGATTAAAAATGTAAAAGAAATACCCCCAAAATACTTTGATCTTTCCTCTTTAATAATAATATGAACATTAGACGATAAAATTTTGTTTTCGTCAAGTTCGGCGTCTTTTTCATCATGCTATGCTCTTTTTATTTACATTTCGTAGAGGTACCTAACATATATATATATATATATATATATATATATATATATATATATATATATATATATATGAATTTTATTTCAATACTTCATGAGCGTCCGATTCTTAAATCGGACGCTCATGATTAATTAATGATAAACATGCCATTTTTGTTTATGATCCATAGAATTACGATTCTTCTGTTAAGCTTGGAGAGTAATTATACA